GGACGGGTATAATTTGGAACAAAGAACTTTCCTGGACGTCGACTTGAATCAAGTCGCCACCATCTACGTCTCAGGCAGATATGTGGGTAGAGAGACGGGCAGATGGGGCGTAAGTACTGCGTTTCTTTTGCATTATTCAACGGCTGATGTTCTTAGGACTTCATTCACCTACGTTGCCCGTCTGGGGACAGTTTAACGACACGATTTCAAGACGCGATTCGACGCTTACAAGACCTAATCATGAATTCCATGCCGCAGACTCGGAAGGTTCGTTCGTATAAATCTCCTCCGCATCACCATGGTAAACTGCGCTGGAGCAGGACGTCATTGAATATTCTTATTGCAATACACAACGAGGACAAGGGGGAGAACCCATAATTCGTGTTCGGGTGTCCGATGCGACGCATCGGGTGCGCGTTAAAGTCTTGCATGAGTTGTAACTAATCGGTTCCAAGTCTTTATTCCAGTATCGACAAGTAGATGGTTTCGGTCCAGGCACAAACGAAGCTGTTGCCTTGATCCCTGGGGCCGATGTGCGATGCGTCGTCCAGTTGTGTCGTGAAGATCGTGCTATCATGGAGTATGAAGACGGTAGTTTGGCGTGGTCGGTGGTACATCGCGATAAGAACGTCTGGAGTCAAACTAATGATATGGGCAGGCATGGATCCTTGATGCTGAACAAGTTATCAGATGCTATTCCGTCTTGGACAAAAGCGCCATATCGCCAAACCAGCGCCAATCGCACCCCGACTCGCTGAAGGAGGGGGGGAAAGCGGCGGCGATGGAAATCATCGACGAAGAGATGGAGTCTGACGACTCCAAGTCTGGGTCCAACAGCGACGATGGGTCTTACCAGGGTTCTGAAGCCGATGAAAGTGAGAGTGATTGGGATACGAGTTACAAAAGTCCGAAACCAAGGGCTCTGTCGGAGGAAGCCTAGTTACATGTATATTGTCCAATATTCCATAGAATTTCACCCCGTCATTAAAAAAAAAGATAGTCTCATTAGATTTGCTGGGGAGCGAAGTAGCGAGAAAGAAACAATCACAAGTAGTGCGGTGTGTCAACTTGTAGGTATTTTGAGGATATTAATAAGAAGTTGTGGTCTGCAGGTCTTGAGGCTGAGTAGATTTGGGGAAAAGACGCTATTTCAGTCAGACCAAAATGGGCTAGTCAAAAAGTCTTTCGGCGAAAGCGTGGGGTGTTCCGACCGTCTGACGCGTACAGTCACGCAAGTGATGACCACCGGTCACGCGGTTGTGTCAACGATGATTTGTCAAGCGTCACCTGTGTGCACGCACCGATTCTGAGCAATGTTGCACGCATTATTGTAAGCTGGTACGCCAAATGACACCTCGTGACTTGAAAGTGCAAAGATATAAAGACGCGTACTTGGCTCCAAGTCCCCACTGGCAGACAAAATTCTTCCCTTAACCTTCCACAGCTACGACATGTCGACTTGGTTCCTCCACTCCTCTATTAGCACTTTTAGCTGCGGTCATTGTGGGCAAAAACGAGTTATGAAGACATGCTCTGGTTGTCAGGCCATGCGCTACTGCGATAGGACTTGCCAAAAGCAACACTGGAAGGCCCACCGCGAGGAGTGTCGCGAGCACCAGAAGACGCGAGCAGCAATAGGGCAGAAAGAAGCTCGACGCTCTCTGAGGCTTTCCGGTTTCTTCCGTCACTGGTCAATCGCAATGGCCCGGTGGGCAGCGTACGTGGGAAACCTCGGAGTCAAGCCTGAAAATTACTTGCAGAACCATTAGTATGTTTTTGAATTGAGGCTACAATTTGTTGTCTTACCTGCCGCAGTTTTTTGGTGCAACTGTGCGGCGCACCCGATGCCGAACACCAATCGAATAAGAACCGTTTCCAAGTCAGCGTTCAAAAGCTTCGTCCTTTCATCGTTAATATCTTGTAGGTCATATCGACTGGCTTTTATCAAGAGGAGGCGCTGGTCGAGAGGGCATTAAACCACAATCTCCAAGCGCTGCGCGAGGAGTTTTTGGCTCAGATTAGGTCTCTTGAAGATGAAGAGGACACTGTCAAAATTGTGATAGCATGGGGCCCTCGATGGCTTTGTTACGTCTCACCGAAACTCGGGCGGCTGTTCCAAGGGATTTATCCATATCGAGGAGGCAACTCGTGGACGAGGGCGGTGGAGATGCTTTCCCCTGACGCCTTTCGCGAGGCAATTAGAAGCGGAAACAGTCAGATTCTACTTTGAGCTGTGTGAGCAACTGCTAACGTGTTTCTAGATGAAAAAGACATCGAGATGTTAGCTGCAACAGCGTGGATGTGAAGGAAGGAACAGTTTCGTGCATGGTGTAGATCAATAATAATCCCCACTCAATCAACTTGAATCAAATCATCATTTGTCACATGACTGCCTGCAGTCCCAATGCACGACGACGACTGGTTAAGCTGCCTCCGACAACAGTTCAGCATCGCGTCAAGAAAAGCCTATGTGTGGTTCTGTTTGTGACATTTAGAGAGACACTGTGGGGGAGAAGAGTTGCGCCGCTTGTTGGGGTAGGTGCCCTTCAAAATGGTCAGGGTCGCTAATGGGCACCCACAATGCGTTGGCTTGATTACGGAGCGGCAGCGACGCGCGTCATGGGAAGCCGTTTCTAGGCATAAAGGACAATCACGTTCCTAGGCGTAGAGGACAATCGCACGCGTTCGCTCCTCCGTTCGTTTCGTTTCCGATGGACTGTCCCCCTTTCCCGCTACCCAGTATCCTACGGCTAACAAATCTTGGCGAAGACTCCGGGCTCTGCCTCAATACCTATTGTAACCACTTGGATGGGCGACAATCTGTCTTTGTGTTGAAGGGAAACATCCTTTATGCTCACTGCGATGGAGGCCTTCAAGTAATATTCTAGTCTGCTCGCATTAAGCACTGCTAATCTTAACTTCAAGAACATTTTCCTGGGCGGAAAAGGCAGGGAGTACAAGCTACTCCACGACATTTTGCATCAATTAATGAATGATGAGCTATTGGGAAAGGTGCGAGGTTGTTGAATCGGTCACTTGGGCCTTATGTAGCGCCGTCCAGATTGTGACGCAAAGGGAGCCATGGGCTTTGACTAGCGACAAGCAAGAGTATCTCGTCGCCATTACTCTTGCGGAAAATGCAACGATTGTACGTTCCATGCGCAGTGCTAGCAACTTGTTCACATGCCTTACTTGTCTTGTCCAGACGGACCTGAATTTATTTGGTACTGACTATGGCGACCAGTTCGCTTTCAAGATTGGTACTCCAGTGGAGTGCGTCGTCGAGTTATACAACATCAGCACGTCGGACATCATCATCGATGAGGAGCTCCGAAGCTGGAAATCCGTAAGCCTGACGGTCCTCCATGGCCCGGTGCTCAAGATATCTAGAGCTGGGTCATCCGTGCAAGCAGGCTGGTGAAATACCTGGACGCCAGCCCCTTCGCTGGCCAACTTGCGCCGCAGTTGTTTTATATCTCGCCGGTAGATCTTGAGACGAAGCGATGTTTGATTGTGGATGTTCTGAACGGATCGGTTATCTAGTGCTAATCCTTCGCTCTTTCCAATGTTGTAGTCAGTCTTTGTGTTAATGTTAACTCCACTCATTTTTTTTTGTTGAATCAATAGTGAGATCCCCAACGATAAGATGAGGCTTATCGGTACATGCACGTAATGGTGATGACTTATGGGATGGCGTCACTCACTGATCACGTTGAATGGTGGTGCGGCGTACTGATTGCCCCCTTAACCACCATCGCTCATTCCACACTGTTGACAATGTCTGCTCAATTTGAAGGTGTGATTTGCTTGTTTGAAACATATTGGTAGCACTGATTCTGTTTACAGCCATTTCACAGGCCCTCCGCACTCACACTGTGCGCGAGATCATTTTGATGTTGGAAGACATTCAACCTGCTCCTACCAATTGTCGACACAAACGCGACAAGCTATTAAACTATGTGTGTAGCCTTGCGAACCCACAGCTTCAAGAAGTCTTGAGAGCTTGTGGAGTGCAAGGCACCAAACGTGTCCGGAAGGATGATGCGCCAAGCAGGCCACGTAAAAGGAGAAGGGTAGAAGCGCCTGCGCCAGTGGTGGAAACGGCACTGGAAGGGGACTTAGAGGATCTCATCGACGGCCCCTTTCTGCAATTTGTTGATGACGACACTGTGAAGCGTTGCATTTCTCAGTATGTGTCCCAAGGCTCCCTTTGTCCCAACTCACTGTGTGCTTGCAGAGTGATAGATCGTACTGGCAATGAAGCACTCAAGAAGGGCGTTTGCTTTGTTTGCGCTCGTAGACTCTTCTTGCGAGATCTGGTAACTGCGGAGCCTGAAGATATTCCACACCCAAGATGCTTGAAGCCAAGCCACCCTCATGCTGCTCAGAAATTAGTCAACGGCATGTTGCTACACGCGCCAGCCCTTCGTCGACCCCCTCCTCACTTTGTTTGTCGCCAGTGTTCATCAAAATTACGAATTTGTATAACGCCTCCCTTGTCTCTGGCCAATAATATGTGGGTTGGCGACGTGCCGTTTGAACTATCCATCTTGACTTTGCCTGAGCGGCTTCTTGTGGGCTTGTATTTTCCTGCTGCGTACATCGTCAAGCTCTTCCCAAAGCATCTTGGTAAGAAGAAGCTTGAACATATGAAGAGTGCGTTACGTGGCAACGTCTCAACATATCATTTGGACCCCAATGCCATAGCGGATATGATTGTCGGCAATCTTATGCCTCGCCCCATTGCACTGCTGCCCTCCGTGATGTGCGTAACTTTTGTGGGAGCTAAGAACGTCCCACTCTCTTCACTTCCGGAGGTATTCAGGTTCAGCGGCAAAGGGTTCACAACGCGCTCAATTGGCTGAAGGCTAACAATGGTTTATATGCTAACATTGAGATATCCATGGAACGTTTGCTAGAACTGCCCGAACATGGTGTTCCGGAGGAGTTAACAACCACAGTGCGATGCTCTGAAGACGAGTCTATCCCGATTCGTGAACATGCAGGCTATGCTCCAATGGACGATGATTCCGACGCCCGACGACGTGGATGATGTTGCAGATGAAGCAGAGGAACGCGATTTTGAGGATAGAAGTGGTAAGGTTGATGCTCCATATCTGAGGGTACCATAATCACTGCCTATTGACAGACCTGCTCCCGGTCCATGCAGTCAGTGAAGAGGACAATGTTGTCGATGGGGAATATCGTTCGTGGCCATTTATGTTCCATCAGCCTGGTTGACATGATTTTCAGCACCTGCAGTTTTTCCTCTACAGCCACATGGCGCCATCGATGTTTCTGGGGATTCGCTCAACGACCAAGACCTGTATAGGGAAGCGGTCCGTAATTTTATGCCACCACCGAAACCACAGTATGCTGTGCGTCCAGGAAGTACATTTGTCAACGAGTATGCTCGCGAAGACGCCGGACAGAGAACGGACGGGGCCCTACCAATGCCAACCATCTTCTGGGCACTTTCCCTGTGCTTTTCCCGTATGGTCTGGGGGGCCTGGAGGTTGATCGTCCGAGCAAAGTGTCATACGAAGAACATGTTCGATGGGCGCTTCAATACGACGACGGTCGGTTTCGCAAAGACCTGTATTTTATGTTTCAAACTTTTGGCGTGCAAGTTAAACGTCAAGTTTGCAGGTCGGCCTGTTTGCAGTTGGACTTCAATACCTTCTTCCAAAACAAAGAAGCGTTCCAAAAACTTACAGCAGAAGATTTTGTCAAAGCAAGTAAGGAAGAAGATCGCAAACAACCCATCAGTAACCCTGTCATTCGTGCTTTTCGTCAACAAATCACGTCTGTTCGCGCTCGAGTCACGGGCACTGATGAAAGTCGCGTCGCCATTCGTGCTCAAGTATGGGGCATGACTTTGCGCTTTAATCCACCAAGCATTTGGACAACAATCAATTTTGCCGACACGGGGGGATCCTATTGCGCAGGTGTTGGCCGGCGCAGAGATAGACCTGGATCATTTCGTGGCGAGGTTCGGACCAGACAGCAACTCGCGTAGTACAACAATTGCTGCTGATCCCTTCGCCTCTGCTGAATACTTCCACTTTTTTGTCAATGTCATATTGGAAGAGCTATTTGGGATCAAAGTCAACCCGTCAGGCACAATTCAGCGCTCTTGTGGGGTGTTGGGTTATGTCAATGGGTATATTGGCACGGTGGAGGCACAAGCTCGAGGCTCTCTACATCTTCATCTCCTCCTGTGGCTGCGCGGAGCGCCGACTGCAGAGACGATGAAGACGGCATTGAGAAGTGAACAGTTCCGCACCAAAATGCGCAATTTCATTCAGCGAAATATTCGAGCACACATTGCGGATACAACTGGCGAGACGTTAATGGCTCTTCCTGTACGGAAGAATATTGCTTTTTCGCGACCTGTTGACCCCCGTGTTCCGGGCTATGAACTTCGAGCAGCAGAAGCCGAAGCGCGTATTGCTCGCGCGGTTCAAACTCACGAGTGTGATTTAAATCGATGTCAGAAGATTAAAAAGGGGCGACTAGTCTGCAAGAGAAGAGCCCCTTGGCGCACAGCTGAAAGTGATTGGGTCACGGACGATGGGGATTGGGGGCCTAAGCGTCTGTACTCGAAAATTAACGCATGGCATCCACCCCTGACGCAAGTGACCCGCGCCAATAACGATTTCAAGCTGATCACGAACGGAGCGGAGACCAAGGACATCACTTTCTATATCACACTTTACATTGCAAAACGTCAAGTACAAACGGCCAATGCATCTGCGTTAATGGCAAAGGCTGTGGAATTTCAAGAGAAATTATCTGCACGACAAAAGAGGAGTCTCGACAAGAGCAAGCGACTTTTACAGTCTTGCGCCAATGTTTTGACCAGGCAACAAGAGTTTAGCGGGCCTGAAGTCATCAGTTACCTCATGGGCTGGGGGGATCGGTATATCTCACACACATTTGTCACGATATATTGGGACAGAGCAACCGCTCAACTTCGACGAGTTTTCCCATATCTCCGGACCACAACGTATGTGCGGTGGTAGCACCAAGTTGCCCCCATTTTTTGACGTTGATTAACAGGGATGACCAAGAGTTTCGCTCAACAATGACGTCGGAAAATGTTGATGGGTGCGATGTAGCTCTTTTCAATAATTTCCATTCGTTTTTGTTGCTCACGCATTGACGCAGGAGCAACGGGTGCCTTTGAGTCGCGATTCTGATGGGATGTTGGTCTTGAAAGACCAACTCAAGGAGTATGAAGACCGCGGTGACGCTCTGGCCGAAATGAATTTTTATGATTATTTCACCCTGACCTACGACGGCAAAAGTGACGAAAAATCGAGTGGACGGGAAGATAACCCTAGCAACAATGTGTCAGGGGAACCTCCCTTTCGGCCCCTCGGAGACGCCTCCGATTCCGGTCCGACTCCGGTTCCGTCTCCGGTCCGGCCCTCCATCTCGCCCGCACAATCACCGATCCGTCAACGCCCTCCCGACGGTCGCCCTGGGACCTCGCCTGCGACGCCGCCCAAGCCTTCTGTGCCCGACAGCGGCAGCTACGGACAAGCAGTATATAGTCAGCTACCTAGCAGGCGGACCCTTAGAGTTTCTTCTCTTTGGATCCTCCCCTGCTAGGTCAGCTTCATTTGTATTCGCTTACCAATGTTCACGCTTTGGATCCTCCCCTGCTAGGACCTTGATCTCAGGCCTCCGGGGTTGCCCTTACAGCAGAAGAAACTCTCTACGGGATCAACCGGACAAGATTGCCAGGTTCGGCGCTGACTCAGGCTCGGAGTACGAGTCCGTTCCGCCCTCGTCACCGCCCCTGCCACTTGTCCCCTCCTCCTCTACTCCTGTGGTCCCCGCACCCGTCATGCCGTCCGGAGTCACTCCTACCGCAGACGCCCGGCTGGACTCACTCGAGGCGAAAAATCGATAGCCTAACTGAGGCCCTTGCTTTACTCACCAACCAGGCTTCGCTGCCGCTGCCGCCGCTAATAATGCTGGCGGACCCCAAACACCATCGCCGGAGACGTCGATTCCGACTCCGACTCGGTCCAGGGCGACTCGAAGCCCTTTTTGGCGACATCAACCTCGCCTCAAAATTGGTCTTGCGACCAAACCCCCCGTTCACCTTCAACGGCGACCGGAAACGGCCGCCGCGTTCTCACGCGGTCCGCACCTACGCCCGCCTTGCCCCTGAGGCCTTCGTGGTCAACGGAGAGGCGAGTGAGGAAAAGGCCGTCCGCTATGCCATGTCGTTTATGGCAGAAGGACCCGCTCAGCAATGGGCGGAGCGCCACGGAAGCAAAGCCCCGTTTCCGTTTCCGTCCTGGGGCTCGTTCGTTTCGAGTTTCGACTCCGGTTCGTCGAGGAGAACGAGCAAGACCATGCTCTCTCCAAACTGGAGACTTCCGCCTATCACATGGGCACAAAGGATGTCTACCAGTACACCGACGACCGAGGACCTGATGGACCTCGCCGGATTGAAGACGCGTTGGTCAAGGTGACCAAGTTCCGCCACGGACTTGACCCCCTGATCAACAACGGAATCACGTCCTCGAACGACCCCCCGGACCTCCGGGACTACCTTAGCTGGCGCACCCGGGCCTTCCGTCAATACGAGGCCCTGGTCCGGGCCAAGCTGATCAAGTCAGCCGCCCCCAAGACGCCTGGCGGTTTGATTCGGACTCCGTTTCCGGTCAACCGCATCCCGGCTCCGGCCCCTTTCCGCCCGGTGGCTCCGGTCGTGCCACCCGCGGCCCGCGCCCCCTCTCCGGCGCCTCCAGCTCCCGTCCCTATGGAGTTGGATCGCACCAGGGCTCGGGGTGCCCCTCGCCGCGCCTGCTTCAGGTGCGGCGACCCAAACCATCTCGCCGGGATTGCCCCCTCCCCGCCGATGTCCGCTCAATGGACATCCTCGACGAGGTGATCCAACAACTCGGTGACGAGATGTTAGCGGAGTTGATCGCCCGCTACACGGACACAGCTGCCCTGCCGGAGACGGCAGCGGAGTCGATGGCCGGAGAGGATTTTGTCCCCGCGACGAGTGACTGGTGTGCCCTCGTTCGCGTCTATAAATCGTTTTGCCTCTTTGTATGATGAATGCAGTTCCTTGCCCTACAATGAGCCCGAAACGAAAGACACACCCTCTCCTGCCCCCGCCTCGACTCCGTCTCCGACTCCGCCCGCGACTCCGGTCATCGTCCTCCGCCGCCTCACTGCCTGGGAAAAGAAACTGCCCAAGCAGTACACCGTTGCCGCTGCCCCTGGGGCGAACTCCCTCCACCTCCCGTTAGAGCTCGAGTCCACCACCAGCGCGCTGAAGCTCTCACTCTCTGGGCTTGTCGACTGTGGTGCCACCTCCGACTTCATTGACACGAACTATGTTGCTCGGAATGGCATTCCGGTCCGCACCCTCGATCAGCCGATTCCGGTTTTCAATGTCGATGGCACCCCCAATGACGCTGGCTCCATCAAACAGATCGCGGACTTGGTTCTGCGCTACAAGGGCCATGCCGAACGAGTTCAGCTGGCCGTCACCCATCTTGGCAAGCAAGACCTCATCCTGGGGTATTCCTGGTTGCGGAAACATAACCCAGAGATCAATTGGGAAACCAAGGAGGTCAAGATGACACGGTGCCCCCGCAATTGCTCGACCTGCCGTGAGGAAGAGCGGGTCGAACGGACCGAGTTGCGGCGACTCCGGTCGCTTCAGAAGCGTCTCCGCTCCGGCCCGTTCCCCTCGGTCTGCGCCATGGACCTTTCTGGGTCTGATGACGGAGACGACTCCGTCTCCGGTGACGACTCCGGCCTGCCTGATCTGACGCCGGACTCCGACGACGACGATGACGATGGTCAGCTTGAAGATGGTGACCGCATCTTCTACACCTCGTTCCGCCCCGGAGGAGATACGCGCTGGCAGTACTGTCTCGCAACGCCTGGCCGAAGCCTTCGCCAGGAACTCCGCCCCTCCGCCCTCCGAGATCCCGGACTGGGCTAAGGAGTTCCAGGACGTCTTCAACAAGGAGTCCTTCGACACGCTACCGGAGCGGAGAGCCTGGGACCACGCCATTGAACTCGTCCCCGACGCTAAGCCCACCAACTGCAAGGTGTACCCCATCTCGCCCCTCGAGCAACGCGAGCTCGACGCGTTCATCGAGGAAGGGCTTTCGACGGGCCGGATTCGCCTCCAAGTCTCCGATGGCGTCTCCGGTCTTCTTCGTCAAGAAGAAGGACGGCGGACTCCGCTCGTCCAGGACTACCGTGCTCTCAATGCGATGACTGTCAAAAACCGGTACCCCCTTCCGCTGATCAACGACCTCATCAACCGGCTCAAAGGCGCTCGTTACTTCACCAACCTCGACGTCCGTTGGGGCTTCAACAACGTCCGGATCAAGGAAGGTGACGAGTGGAAAGCGGCTTTCCGGACTAACCGAGGCCTGTTCGAGCCCTTGGTGATGTATTTCGGCCTGACAAACTCTCCCGCGACGTTCCAAACGATGATGAATGACATTTTTCAGGACCTCATCCTCTCCGGAGACGTCATGATCTACCTTGACGACATCTTGATCGCCCATTCCGACCTCCGGAAACACCGGCAGATTGTTCAGGAGGTCTTGCGGCGACTCCGAGAGCACAAGTTGTACCTCCGAGCGGAGAAGTGCGACTTTGAAAAATCGTCAATCGAGTACCTGGAGTCATCATCTCCCACAACCACGTCGAAATGGACCCCGTCAAGGTCGCAGGTGTCTCCGCTGGCCGACTCCGGAAAACAAGAAGGACATTCAGCAGTTCCTCGGGTTCGCTAACTTCTACCGCAGGTTCATTCGGGACTTCTCGACCCTTGCGCGCCCTCTTTTCGTGCTCACCAAGAAGGACCAGCAATGGACTTGGGGCGACGCGGAGGCCTCCGCGTTCCAAGCGATCAAGGACGCGGTCACCTCGGAACCGGTCCTGGCGATTCCGGACGACACACGGCCTTTCCGACTCGAGGCGGACAGCTCTGATTATGCGACGGGGCGGTTCTTTCACAAT